GGTTTTTTAAAAAACGGCCACCGAACTTCTTTTCTGAGAAGGAATTCCATGTCCCACGGACGCCTCCTCTTCTTCCAAAAAGTTAGACCCTAAGAACTTACGGGTATGAAATATCTCCCAGGAAGGGAAAATCTGACAGAACTATGCAGAAAATAATCATAAGCCAGCCATGAATATTTTAACGTCACACCGGAGGTCAACAAAATATCCCCCAGAACAGGCGAAATCAGCATTCTCATGACCGTTTTCCAAAAACGGCCATTGACTCTTTCTTTTTCTGGTGGATATTCCCCCCAGACCCTCCGGTGCTACGTGTTCTTCCAAAACGTTAAGCCCTAAGAACTCGCGTGTCTGAAATACCTCCCAGGAAAGGAAAATCAGAGGAAACTCCCCAGAAAATGATCGTAAGCAAACCATGAACATTCTCATCTCGAAAAACGGTTTCTTTTGCGAGGGGAGGGGGTTATTCCATACCTCCCAGTCATCCGGTGCTAAGTTTTCTTCCAAAACGTTAAGACCGAACAACTCACGTGCGTGAAATACCTCCCAGGAAAGAAAAATCTGACGGAAAATAATCATAAGTTAGCCATGAATGTTTTAGGGTAACGTAACAACGGAGGGTCAACATAATATCTCCCACCACAGGTGAAATCAGGATTCTCATGATGTGTTTTCGAAAAACGACCTTCGAATCTTTCCTTTCGTGGGGGGGGGGGGTCCATCCGTTCCAGACCCCCTGGTGCTATGTTTTCTTCCAAAACGTTAAGCCTTAAGAACTCGCGTGCGTGAAATACCTCCCAAGGAACGAAATTATGACGGAAATCCTCAGAAAATCATTGCAAGCTAGCCAGGAATATTTTAGGGTAACGTAGCACTGGGGGGGTATGAAATACCCCCTAGCCCCATACACCCAGTCAACACATTGCCCCCCAGCACAGGTGAAATGATGATTCTCATGTCGGTTTTTCGAAAATCCGCTATCTAATCTTCGTTTTTCTATGGGTATTCCACACCCACCAGAAACCTGAAGCCCTAAAAACTCGTTTGTATAAAACATCCCCCAGAAAAGGAAAAACTGCCGGAACTCCCCAGAAAATAATCACTTATAATTGCACAAGAGGTTTGTATTTTACCGAGTAAATTTGGGTTGTTTAGGTAATAAAAATCTGTTGCCTAGTAATTAGACGAGAAAAACTGTCAACTAATAAAAATGCGACACCGCAGGTGGAGCATTTTTAGGTTGACAGTTTTTCGAGTCCAATTGCTAAAAGGAAACAGATTTGAATTGCCACAACCCAAATTTACTCGGTTTAAATACAAACCTCGAGTGTAATTCGGCAGGACAATTTAACGAACAAGAAATTCACCAAATTAATCAATTATTGACAGACGTCAAACTAGTCATATGGGAAAGGGTAATGCGATAATTGGTTCGAAAATGAATAAGTAAAAAAACCACTAGTGCATTTGTCGCTGGAAAAGTTGCAGGTAACTTTTGCCGCTGTCAAAGTGACAATTTCACTGCGGCTTATGCGATTTTTTATACATGAGTTGAATTGTCGTAAGCAAACCATACCTAACGTAGTATCGGGGGGTATGGAATCCCCCCAGCCAGCCAACACAGTATCCCCCAGTACGGGTGAAATGACAATTCTCATGATGGTTTTTCGAAAAGCTGCCATCGAACCTTCCTATTGCCGGGGGGCGTATTCCATATTTTTTCGATAAGAAATGAATATTTTCAGCCTCCACGAATAATAACTTTTTGGCAAAACATTTTGTTCATAAACTTTTATGCTTTTTTATCGATTCCAGTGGTTATTTTTAACATAAAAATTTCCACCCCGAAGATAAGATAGATGGTGATAGAGCGGAACATTTGTATCTTTGATTTATTCCCAATTCATTGTCAAAATTTCAAGCAAATCTAAAAAGTTCAAATCAGGAGAACCTACTGGTTCAAGGGTGGCTCTAAAACCTAACGATTTATACAGTGATTTCCCACATACAGGGTGTTACATCTGAGTTGTGTAAAGCTAATAAGCCGAGAGTCGTAAATGTATGGTTTGGAAGCCACTCTTAAAAAGTCTCAAAGTTGCATTTTCGATTTTGAAAACCATTTTCTAAACTTTTTACTCCGAAATGGGGTAAACGGGGGTGAAAAATTATGGATTTCACGATTTCCTGTGTATGAAAGGACAAACAAAAATGATATATAGATATAAGAAGTAATTACTCAGCGTAAATAACTGCATTATATTTACAAAATTAAACGGTGAAATGGATTGGTGTCAATTTCAGCCCTAAGAGTCCTCCAAGTGTAGTACACGCTACTTACAAAATTCCATCAAAAAAGATCAAATTACCAAAAGAAAGAATGCAAATAATTAACTTGTTTTGTTAATTAAGAAGTAGACCACTTCAAATGTTGACTTAGAAGATTGATTACTTGCTCAACGCCTTTTTTTCCTTAAATGATCCGTTTACTTTATCTAATCGTTCATTCGAAGTGGTGATCTCAATTTCCATTTTAAATTGTTGTATACTTAACGAATACCTTGGTCAAATTTCAATCAGCCTGATTTTATTTAGCACCAAAGCTAGTGGTATTCGACAAAAGACGAGATGACCACACACAGCGTGTGTATAGGAAGACCACAATTACGCTTTCTCGACGATTCCGTGTCCCTCGTCCACTTTAAAATTGGTTCCGGCATAATCACTTGATGATTCCGTTACACTTTTTCATTCGCCGCCGGTGCAGCTTTGATTCTTTCAAGGCAATTACGTACGACAATGTTTGTTGTACAAATACGGCGTTCCTACCGACTAATGGAAATGGAAAAAGATTGTAGTCGTTAAATGCTGCACCTAGCGTGGCTACCTACTCAGATCACTAAAAAGAAATAAAGGTAGCGATCATAAATCATCGAAACCGTGCATCACGTCGCTGACCTAAGATGCTAACCTGTGTCAACGAAAGAATATTACGTTATTATTTATTAGTAACAGTTGGCACGTGCGGCGATTCCACATACCGACACTGACCTACCCCATTGTTTAGCATGAACCGAACCCTCATCATAAAATAACCATTCGAAGAGCTTTGCTGCCCTCAAACCTGTAAATCAATCTTGAGGAACATCAAATCGTTTTACAAACGACTCGATGGCGCCTTTTACAACGAAACGTTAGAACTTCTATTGGCAGTACGTTAAGGGACAATAGCTCCTAGGGTAGTGCTTAAAGGAATTTCAAGATACAAGTTGACAAGCAACACGGCGAGCGGCTCTCGACTTTATTGAATTATTTCGGCTTGTTTAAAAGTGACTCGCATTTTATGGCTCAATGCATGAAAATTTACAAGGTGCGCTTTAAAAGAAATGTGCGACGGTCGTAAAATATTAAGCTTTATTAAAGGTCCTATTGCTTCGACCGAAATTGTTACTTTTTAGTTTCCCGCGCATAAAGCAGAACCTTTCTTTCGTTAGTCTTTAGTCAAGGGAGTAATTCGCCGTTGAAAAGTTCCCCCATTTCAGTGAAACGGGATGCCAGCGTCAAAGTATGCAAATCTACACCAAATCAAAATTTATGTAAATTAAAAAATGAAATTTATCGCCGTATCAAACACCTCATATAGAACTAAAGCCTTTTCCAATATAACGTATCCAAATAATAAAACTCCTCGTAGCCTACACATCCAACAATTTTTTGTATTAATTCGTATTGCCATACCTAACTGGTAGCTATATTACAATATTTTAACGGAATTTGGCATTTAATGTTACTCTTTTATTTAAATCGGCATGAAGCAATTTTAGTTAAGGTGGGTGTGGCGGTTTCCATCTAATTTGAGTAAAAAAAGAGTATAAAATACATACTTTAAATGTTAAAAAACTATATATGCATGTCTAGAAACTTCGATGTTCGAACTTGTGGCGGAACTGTTGGGCGAAAAAGCGTTTTTTCGGAAATTACTTCACTTTTTTTCTAACGAGTAGCATTCGATTGATTTTATTTTATAGCAGATGTTAATTTTAATAGGTTTGAGGCTGAGTCGCTGTTAAACCGTGAGGGTATACAAAGGCGTGTGCGGACAATTCGCGCCCGGACAACTCGCACCCGGACATTTCGCTCCCAGGATATTTCGCACCCTGGACATTTCGCTCCCAGATAATTCACACCTGGATAATTCGCACTCGGACATTTCACACCTTGGACATTTCGCTCCTGGATAATTCGCACCCGGATAATTCCCACTCGAAAAATTCGCACTCGAAAAATTCGCTCCCGAATAATTCACACCCGGTTAATTCTGTAAATCTTTGGTTTATTAATTAAATATTTTTAAGAAGCTAATAGACGATTGCCTTTACAGAATGTATGTAGTAGTGCGCATCTTGGTAAACATCTACTTCATGGAAAAGTGTTTCAAATAATAGTTATTTGGTTTTTCATTTTCAACACATCGCGATTCTTAAGTATTTCCATTTCTTAAATATAATCACGCTGGTTTTTTTTTGAAGTTGTATGAAGAGTCTGATATAGTTAAATCCTGTAATTTAAGAACACATAATTTTTATCTACAGCGCTTTCGTTTTGAGAAAATAAGAATAGGTAACTGAAACTTCTTTTGTGGAGTAATTAAATACCAAATAGTTATACCTAGTTATAGTAGGTATATCTACAATATTATGTGTAATATTCGCTACTTTTGAGACGCTCTTAATATTAAAACAGAATCAACATATAATACCGTACACAAACAAAGTGATAAGTCTAAAGTTAAAAATATCTACATTATAAGATCAAGATGAAAATAGAAAAGAGTAATTTAACGCTCCCTTACATAGATTATATTCGACCTCGTCTCGTAAATAAGCACAATGTAGTACCTTCATTCCTGTGGGATACGTCACAATTTTAAAGCTCGCGTTTCTCTCCATGCTCCGCCCCGCACTGTATACCATGTAAGCTCCAGTCTTCTTTTTTGTGTGGTACGGTTACGTCGCGATTGTTATTATGTCGACATCGAAACATTCTAAGCGTTCGCGGTCGCCCGGAAAGTATAAGGACGAAACACTTACTCTTCTGCGTAGGCTAGAGCGTCGGATGGATGCTTTCGAACGCAAAAGCTTTAAGAAAAGAAAGCGGTTGCCCTCTTCCGATTCCAGTTCTGGGGATTATCCAACACCCCAAAAACGCGTTACTTTAGACTCGGATTCCGATGCGAGTGCACGCAGTGCTTTCTCCGAAGATGACTTAAATCAAGGTAACTATATCCAAGGGGGCTATCTTGTAGCGTTAAGTGATTCTCACTCACCGCTCGTAGGGCTGCTTGTGATAGCGGCCGACTATTTGTGATAATAGTCATGTTCCCCGACCTCAACGGTTGCTTGGGATAGCACCAGGTTGTTGGTGATGACAATCTTGAGGGGAATCACGCTATACTGCTTGTGATAACAGTAATTGAATCATGGGACGTTTTAGTCCCAGATTGTGATGAACGGGTCTTATTATCCACCTTTTTTTTTTTTCTGTGTAGTGGAAGGCGACGACGTAGAGGAAGTACCGGCGCCACCATCAACCTTGAACCAGGATGTGCTATCTATACTCGGAAATGATTCGCAATCCGATAGTGTTAAAGGTCCACCTATTCAGCAAGAAGTTACTGAAAGATGGATTAATATTTTTAAGCGGGGGCTGTCTGAGGACAAATGTGTCGAATTAATTCAGAAATACCCTTCTCCCGAAAACGCGGGGTTTTGGGACGCACCGAAGCTGAATCTGGTAGTAAAACACGCCGTGACGGATTCGGTGGAGAAACGAGATTTTCGCCTTGCAAAATTACAAACGCAGATAAGCTCTGGTTTAGCAGCTATAGGTTTAGCGCTTACACAGTTAATCAACAAGGAAGGGGATGAGTTTAAGCCACTCATCGAACAATTAAGTGATGCGGGACGCTTACTCGCGGATGTGCATCATCGAGAAAGTGTTTCCCGAAAGGAATTAATTTCCTTGAATTTGAATAGGGATTGGAAGGATACAGTCGCTGAAACCGCGATAGATTCTTGGTTATTTGGCGAGAATTTGGAAGAAAACTTAAAATCGGCAAAGAATTTGAAAATTTCTTCCAACCAGCTGAAATCCGTAAAGACATTCCCTAAAAAAGTAATTCACAGACCGGCGTTAAACTTCAAAGGTCCACCCCAAAATCGTCAGGCGAAGGGGCAGGGTGGACGACATCGGCAAGTCCCCACCAGCAGCAACAGCCAGTCAAGAACGGGGAGACGCATGAATCTGATGAATCGAGATCCTCAGGGACATCGGCGCCATCTGTACAAGGAAACGAAATACCATCGCTTTTAGAGGTAAGAAGAACCGCAGGACGATTAAGACATTTCATAACTTTCTGGAAAGAGTTAACAAATGATAAAGTGTTATTATCGTGGTTGAAAGGATTTCGTTTACCTTTCGCTAAAACACCAGTTCAAAGGTACATTTCGGTGGAGCCAACATACTCTGCGTCCGAGAAAGCTGAAATTGCAAGGGCAATTCAGAAATTGCTACAAAAAGGTGCAATTTCGATTGTTAAAGCATGTAAAAATCAGTTCGTTTCAAATGTGTTTGTGGCTCCTAAACCGGATGGCACCTGGAGATTAATTGTGAATCTGAAACACTTTAATCAATTTGTAAAAACTGACCATTTTAAATTAGAGGACCATAAAACTGTTAATAATATAATTACAGCTGGTTGCTTTTTAGCTAAATTAGATTTGCAAGACGCGTATCATTTAATTCCCATTCATAAGAGTGACAGGAAGTACTTACGTTTCACTTTTAGTGGAATATTGTACGAATATAACTGCTTATCTTTCGGGTTGAATTGCGCGCCTATGTTGTTCACGAAGGTCATGAAACCCGTAGTAGCATCACAGACAATTTTGTCTGTGGTAGCATACTTACGAGCACAGGGTCACGTCTCGGTCATATATTTAGACGATTTTTTGTTGCTTGGCAATTCATATACCGATTGTTTGTCAAACGTACGTCAAACCGTATATATTTTACAACGATTAGGGTTTGTTATTAACAGTAAGAAAAGTATTTTAGTTCCTAGTAACACGTGCACCTACTTAGGCTTTGTTTATGATTCCATAAAAATGACGGTGTCCTTGCCAAAGGAAAAATTAGTTAAATTATTAGCCGAATTGTCAAAAATGGAAAATACTAGAGTCTGTTCCATAAAATCATTTTGCAGGATTACGGGCAAATTAGTGGCCACTTGTCGTGCAGTTAAGTATGGAATGTTGTATACAAAGATGTTGGAAAGGGAAAAATATAAGGCCCTCGAAGCGAACGGAGGTTCGTATAGAGGAATTATGCAAATTCCGAAAAAATTAAAAGGGGAAATTCGTTGGTGGAAAATGAATTTAGTTCAGAGTGAGAATGAGATTGGGGGAAGAAATTATTCTCTAGAAGTTTTTTCAGATGCGTCTTCCACGGGGTGGGGAGCTTACTGTGGAGGAATTAGGGCTAGGGGCCTTTGGTCAGAGTCTGAAAAAAGAAATCATATAAACCTTTTAGAGTTGCTAGCTGTTTTCTTTGCGCTTAAATGTTTTGCGGCAAAACTTCGAAATTGTGCAATTCTATGTAGAGTAGATAACACCACGGCGTTATCATATATAAATCGGATGGGAAGTGTAAGATTTCCAAAATTAAATTGTTTGACACGGAATATTTGGCAGTGGTGTGAAAAGCGAGGCTTATTCTTGTTCGCTTCGTATATCAAGTCCGAGGATAACGTGGAAGCTGACGCAGAGTCGAGAGGGTTAAGCGTCGAGACTGAATGGAGTCTCTCCGACTCTGCCTTCTCCAGGTTAATAAAAAAGCACGGGGCACCACAAATCGATCTGTTTGCCAGTCGATTGAATAACAAGTGTAAAAATTATGTATCGTGGTTCAGAGACCCGGGTGCTATGGCGGTGGATGCCTTTACATTGAAATGGGAAGGTTTCCTTTATTATGCATTCCCCCCATTTTCGTTGATTCTAAAGACTCTGGAAAAAATTATTCGGGATAGTACTGTTTGCATTATGGTGGTCCCTGTTTGGCCGACCCAACCATGGTACCCCGTTTATCTTTCCTTGATAGTAGGCGAACCCCTAATATTGACACCTGACGATAGTTTACTTTCTGTTGGCAGAATCCGACATCCGCTAGCAGGAAGTTTGTCGTTAATGAGCGCGAAATTATACGGGAAGCGCTACGTCGCAGGAACGTGCCAGAAGAGAGCCTGGACATATGCGTAGCATCGATATCAGAAGGAACGGTAAAACAATATAGAGGGGGGTTGAAACGCTGGTGCGAGTTCTGTCAGCGAAAAGGTATTAACCCCCTCGTTGTTTTAGTAACAAACGTTTTGGAATTCTTAACCGAACAATTTAATATAGGTGCCTCTTTTGGTTCGCTCAATACTTATAGATCGGCAATTGCTCAATTAGGGGGACCCCAAGTGAGTCAAGATTATAGGTTAAAAAAGTTCTTTAAGGGTGTTTTTATGCTTAGACCGACTAAACCTAAGTACGACAATATTTGGGATCCGGCAGTCGTCCTAGATTATTTAAGGGGACTTAAAAATTCGGAAATAAGTATTGATACATTAACGCACAAACTTACAGCCTTGCTAGCGCTGGCAACGGGTCAAAGGTTACAAACCTTAACGTTAATAGAAATTTCAAATATTTATAGGGACACCAAAGGCTTAACTATCACGATACCGAGTCGGATTAAAACATCAGGCAGAAATAGATTACAACCGGTATTAAGATTGCCTTTTTTAGATTTGGATCCGGAGATTTGTGTAGCTCGAACCGTTTTACTATATATAAATAAAACAGAAGTTAGGAGGGGATCAGTTAGGTTTTTGATTTTATCAACAAGAAAGCCGTTCCACAAGGCAACTGCACAAACCCTTAGCAGATGGATTAAGATTATTTTGCAAAAAAGTGGCGTGGACGTTACAAAATTTTCTGCCTATAGTACCAGACATGCAGCAACATCTGCTGCTAGTAGGAAAGGGCTTAACTTGATACTATTCGGTTATCGGCGGGGTGGTCCCAGAATTCCAATATGTTTGCTACGGTGTACAATAGACCTATATGTTCGGACAAATCTTTCGCTGAAACAGTGTTAGGAGATTAAGGATAGTATCTGCTTTCGATTCCTTAGAATTAAGACATATGTAAACGTTATGTAAATAAACGTTCATGGTTGTCGCAACGTCTTTAAACATCTACATTGTGCTTATTTACGAGACGAGGTCGAATATAATCATAAGATCAAACGAACTTACCCAAGTGATGTTCGATCTTGATTATATGAAGACCTCGTCGAAGTAAATAAGGTCCCACCACACCCTCTGGAATTTGCCCCGGTTGAGTTGCGACAAGCTACTTTAAAGAAACTGAAGCTTACATGGTATACAGTGCGGGGCGGAGCATGGAGAGAAACGCGAGCTTTAAAATTGTGACGTATCCCACAGGAATGAAGGTACTACATTGTGCTTATTTACTTCGACGAGGTCTTCATATAATCAAGATCGAACATCACTTGGGTAAGTTCGTTTGATCTTATGATTTCTTAATGAAGACACACACAAATTTATTCTTTAGGTCTTTAGTTGAAAAGGGTAACAAAGGAAATGAATTAAATTTTTTTTTTTTAATTTGTAGGTGGGGAAAATGCACCTTATTTTAGACAAAGCGAGTACGTATAAATGACAATAGAACAACGCATTTCATAGATGGCACTAAATTTGGATAAGTAATTAAGATAATTTTATAATTAAAGGTAAATTTGAAAAGACCACGATAACACAAATTGCACTTCATAAAGAAACAATAAGAGAAATATCGTAATGACATCCTACTCTATTATTTCTGGAAGATGAATAGGGTTTATTACAAGGTAAAAGTAATTAGGTCCGAAAAATCAGGTTTAGTACCTACGTATGACCACAACTAATTAGAACTTTAACGCCTGTATAGTATCTTCATTCTTGAACGTTTGACAGAGTGGTATTTTAAAATTTATCTGAGCACGGGTTTTGATTTTGTGTATACTTTTTTTTTTAATTTTAAAAAATTTCATTTCTGGTGGTAGTGTTGTGGTGGTGTTCAGAAGAGGTAAGTTTCCAGTTTTCTTAGAACCAGTTTTACGTTTCTTTGATCACATATGGCTATATGTTGATTATTGGTAACTGAGTAAAATTACACTAACTGCTTATTTTTTGCGTTATCTTTGCTACAACCATGGTAGTGAATGAACTTAAAAGTTTCTTTTTGATTTTCTTACTCTTATTTATTTTATAGTTTGAAGAGGTACATGGAAAAATTCTGGCAATTTTTTAAGATATTGTTAATAATCAAAACAGTAAAGCTTTTAAAAATCTTGAAACGTTTTAGGAACAGGTCGATATTGATGATTTTTTCTTTTAAATGTTTGTAATTATTAAGTACCTATATACTTCCTTTTTAATTTTTGTATGTCATATCTAGTATTAAAGCAACACCCTTAGCATTGGTAATTGCGCAACAAGGAAGATAAGACATCATTGGAAAGGCTTTCCTTCTCTGAATTTGGTGAGAATATAATTTTTTAGATTTGATATTTTCGAAATATTTTAAAAGTTGAGGGCGCGCTGTTGTTTATGTCATTGGAAGGATGTCGGGCCGATCACTATGTAATAGAAGCTAATGCGATCGTGCGTCAAAATTATGCAGTTGCAAGTGGTATAAAAAAGAGAAAAATTGTACCTGCAACGTCGAATGCGCTGGAAATGAAACAACTAAACCAAAAAAATTACAAATCCGAATTCAGAGATGGGCGACCTTACCAACGATGCATCATTTAAGATTTTATGGGTTGCACTGTCAGCGATGCGAGACAAAGACATTAGTGAGCAAGTTTTATTTTAGACACTGTTTCCTTCCATGATCAATTTGACGTGCCAAAGCGTTTTTGGAAAATTATTTTAATTTACAGAAATAGCTATGTATCGTTTCTAATGCACCACCGTATATTATTTAGCTTCGGAGAAATAACACCAAAATCTCCCCATAAAAATTGTTATAATAAAAAATGGGTAGATTTTGGTGTTATTTCTCCGAAGTTTCTTAAGCACCCCATTGAGAGTCATGGATCCTCACAATTTCAGTATATTATTTAAATAATAGCCATATAATTTATAGCAAGACCAATTTTTTTCACGATATTTATCAACATTTTTTGCTTTTTTCGTTACTTTACAGTTCTTATCTCTTTAATTTTACGGAAACTCTCAAGAATCTATTTGTTTTACGTTCAAATATGAGTATAATTTACTTGAAATTATTATTATACGTATTTCGTTATGTGTCCTGTAAATGGACGACATCGAAGGTTAGAGAACTAGGAAACTTAACTTGCAGCTACATTTTTGTAGTTATTAAAAACTAGTGAAAAATTGGAGACCGAATTATTTCTATGCGAATTATAGGGATGCCAATTTTTCGAGTGCGAAAATGTACGAGGCGGTGGGAAATGTGAACTCTCTTGACGATAAGTGTGCGGGTGCAAAAGTGTCCAGACAGACATCAAAATCTCAGGGGAGCGAAATTCTGGTGCGAATTATTACGGTGCGAATTATCCGGGTGCGAATTGTCCGGTAGCGAAACGTCCGATGTCCATGAACTTGGCAGGCCTATTACAGCAGACCATAGTTCTACTTACTCATATCGTTAGTGCTCCGTTAGTGCACGTTAGTGCCGCTGAAGAAATCGTTAGTGCATAAAAGGAAACTTACTATTTTTAAAAAATATTTGTGGGCCTGCTAACTTCATGCCAGCAGACCCATTTGAGAAAATCGATTCAAT